AGTGTGGAAAGGGAAACTTCTACCCAGGAACCTCCTCTATGCACTAGTGCCAACGACATCGACTCAGAAGTCGCTCGATCACAGACACGAGTTTCTCTTGTAGTGATAAATGGATATTTGAACTATGGTTCATATAAGAACATATAACATAATGATACACTAATCTCTACCGTGCATCAATGGCGGCCCGCTGGATCTCAATAGAGATTCTTTAATAATACATAAATTTTAAAAGGCAAATGGGAAAAACCCATAAAACAGCAAACGGCCACATAATGCAAAAGTATTTAAAATTAAAACGGAACAGTAGAGAAAATCCGATCAGAATGACAAAATAAACTAAGCATCCTGACGATAGTGGGCCTGGTGGGTGATGATGATGATAGGCCTAACAATATTAACTGCTCATGATAATAATATCATCAGTTAGAATTAAACATTTCAATCTCTCTCTTATACACATCTAGATGTGTATAAGAGACAGTATATATATATGCGTCATGTGTTATTGATGATTACTGTTACATTAAGTATGCGCAGCATGATGTAATAGTTTCAGGATTAATGATATTAACTCAAGGCACTGCAAAAACTTATACATAACGTTAACAAATGAAGTTGGTTAATATGCATAATGATATTCGTTTTTCTACTTACGAAATTATCAATGGTTCTGGTAAAATGTAGATACAAATATGACAAGTATAAATGGGGATCGGATCAAAACTTTACAAATTGTTGACGTAGGCCTATAGCTTTCCTTATTGTTTTCGTAATATTTGTTAATACTAAAATGATGGACGCAACCATAATGTTGCATAGTACTTGAATTTATTTTAAACGATCAAAATAATAAACAGAAAATGAGCAAATTGGAACTTGTTAAAGTTGGGTATTAGGCCTATGCATACAATAAAATTCCAACTGATTGTTTGCAATGCAAACTTTTTAACTTTATTATTACTAAATACATTGAAATAACAGAAAATAATTTGACCGTAAACTCGAAGCAATAATGGAAAATGTAACACAATCCAAAGATAAATGAAAGGGAAAATGATTGTCATCAGACCGAGTACCATACACATCAGGAAAATATTAAAACATATGATTAACGATTTGTACAATAGGCCTACATTCCAAGTTGTCAACTCATTTACTTAATAATAAAACAACCACATACAAATAACCATACAAATAATAACCCTACCAAAAATGCTTAACCAGGTTAGGCAGACGACCGAAATTGATATACAGACGATTAAAATTGTTTAGCAGACAACAGAAACTCTTTTTAAGTTAGAAGACGCTAAAATCAATGCTTAGTATAAAACCGAGGCATTATAAGGCATAATACGTGGAATAAATTATTGCTACACAAATTTTTTCCGTGACAACATACAATAATATGAATACCTTCACATTTGCATAAATTTACATTTATTAGCAAATAATCCACTCGAAAGCATAGCATATCGGGCATGTTCTTAAAAATTATTTGGAATAATAAACATACATTTGATTTGTATTTCAAATTATTTACACTGTAAATATTGGCATAATTTACACAATTTTGTACTCTCTTTACATTTAATTCCCTACCAAAATATTAGAGTACTGTAGAAACAGACAGACAGACAGACCTCATGTGCAAGATCTTCCTTAAAGATATACTACACCCCCTCCCCCACCCCACCAAAAAAAAAAATCAAAAAATCAGAAAAATCTCAAAATTTCAACTCATTGGAAAGGATCTAATATTTAATAAAGTATTGAACTTCCAAACAAAAAAAAAAAAACATTTTTTCCCCGCTAATTCACAGAAATTTTACAAAAATAGATTACCGGCAAAATTAAGGAATTAAGAATACAGGAAAGGTATCACCTAAGTTTCTGTTAATTGACAAATTACGTCATTCAAATATGAAATTGATATGTTTTACTTCATGAAAGACAACATACCATAAAACTTCGAATTGAAGCCCAATGGGCTTAATCTCGAGATGAATCCCATCTCGAATTGAAGCCCTTTCTTAGTTTGCGAAATTAGCCTCGCAAAGAAGCCCATGGGCTTCTTTTCAAGATAGCATATGCTTCTTTTCGAGATAGTACAGTACATACACTGTACATGAATTCCAATAAACAAAATAAGCAAAATTGAAAAACAAGCTTGGTTTATACAGTAATTTAGGTAATTTAATGCCAGTAAAATACACTCCATGATACAGATTGATGTTATAGTGGCCTTATTTATTGTTTTGTAGTACAAATTCACAAAATTTACAGCATTCATTTTGAAAAGAAGGCCCCCAACCCTCTTTACTTTGCCTCGAAAAGAAGTCCACCCAAAGTTTGCAGAAAAAAACCAAAAACAAACAAACAAACAAAAACAAAAAGAAGCCTAGGGCTACTGTTCGAGGTTTCACAGTATCTTTAAGCAAATAATAAACAAGGTATTTTAACAAAACATTAAATTCTCGCAGACATTTGTGTCCACTAAAATATTTCCACTCTGGATAGTGTATATAGAGTATGGTTATATGGGATGATTTCTTTCAATTGAAAGTGCATTATATTTCATTTTACATATGGTCGCAACTAAACACTATAAAAGTGTGTACATTAATAACATCTGTAGGTACAAGGGAAAACACATTATCTTCCGGTGACAGGAAACATTAATGTGATCTAAAATACCATGGGTGTTTGCATAGATTTCTGTGCGTATGTATGTAGGTTTATGTACATAGGTGTATGATGTTAATGCAAATGTAATTATACATTTCTTTGCATGTGAAACATCTTACAATTAATTATTAGAAAAAATCTTGCTAAAGTGTATTGTTTTAAAATTGTTTTTAATTTGAATTTATATATAATAGTCAAATATAGTAATTTCATTTGCTATTTAAATGGGGATTAAGATACTTAATATATAAATGTAGTTAAAAATAAAGATACAGTCATCTCAAATAATGAGATAATCTTTAATTTTGATCAACACATAAGGCAAAATTCTCTTTAATGAATATGTTAATAAAATAATTATTTGTGATAAATGATGTGTACTAATCATGAAATTTTACTAATTTAGTGAATACATCAACCTTGGCCTATTATAATTTTTCACTGTGCAAATTGTTTGTGTTACTTTTTCAATAGAGTTACAACATGGTTGTACTGCAAGCTTTTTAGGGAGACAAATAACACTTTACATTTAGGAATACACATTGGAATGTCTTGGTCACATCTGATACCAGTATAATCATCTCAAGTATACATATTTGATAAAAAAAATATCGTAAAATATATTCTACTTCTAAATGAAATA